ATGAGGCTTTACACGTCGCAGCTACGTCCGATTGATCAATTAGGCAAGCAAACAGTGCGCATTAACTTAGGGTCGATATTTAACAAGTAGCTTCTGCATAAGAAAAAAACTGCTCGGGATTGGACTTCACCAACTAAAAATTACAAAAGTAAATCGCATTTACGAACAGCCTTTTCCGCAAAATGATAGCAAAAAAGCTCGAAAAAGGACGTAGGCATAAAAAACGGAGTCAATTTTGAAAATGTAATATGCTAATTCATTGCCTGCTAATGCGCTAGGCCATGCAGCTTCCGTTTGGGAGGAAAAAGGGGTCGGTGCTTCCGAAAAGAAAATCAAATTTTCGAAAAAGCAATATGCAGTTTTGGGCTTTAAAAAGGTGTCGGTGCATCACATCCGGTCGTTTCGCAGCGGTGCTGGAATGAAGGAACGCGGGGGAGAAAGGGTGGGTGGCGGAATGGGACGAAGATAAAGCTGGCCGCCTCTTTGTGTGTCCGTTAGTGGACTCTGCAAACAACATATGCAATATAATCTGTACACAAGGAACAAGCAAATTGCTCAGGACATTACTCCGAATAGAACAAACCGCAAATCGACGCTCGAAACAGGTCGGACGAGAGCAGAGCAGTTGTGGTTGAGCATTATGATAAATTTCCAGTCCAAACGGAATCTTATTTTCACCACAGTATTCGGCTTTACAGGAACAAACAAGAACGATCGTGGCGAGCAGCAACGGAAAATTGGCAAGAGCCTGGAAGTGCGGCGTCATGATCGCTTCATTCATAAACTGTTATTTCGGAATTCCAGACAGTTCTAAAGCATGTGCCTTATGCGCACGTCCGTTAGGCATCAAGCACCGCAAACAAACGGCTTTTTGTTTCAGAAAAATTACTGCTTTCTTATATCACTCAAAAACTTCGTTACCGCAAAACACAGAAGCTTAATTGTTACCTTGGAGAGAAAACAGCGGAGTTTTTGAATTCCCAGAAGCTGGCGGCCTATCAATCCTGCCTGGCTTTCTGGCTAAACCTCTTTCGTCTCCTCCTCTCCCTACACCTATTACCCTCAGCCCCCACTCCTACAGTTATGAATCTCATAACAGAACACTGTATAAATGAGAGAAGCTCTCTAGAAATGGACAAATTTAAAAATCAAGGCGGCGGTGTTAATGCGGGCCTTTGTACTTGCTTTTTCCCTGCCCTACTCCTCCCTTTTTCTCTAGTTTATTCCTCTTTCTGAAAGCATCACTTCTGCCGAACTAAACTTAACAGAATGGCTACAGCCCTTGAAGGCTTCATTAGCTAAAGTTCCATATTTTACCGCTATTATGACACGCTTACAAAGTAAAGTAGATAAGGAGGGAAAGAAGGAATACTTTCAAAAAAATTTTACCAAAATGTAGCTTCTTTTAGTCATTTTTTGGGGAAGCGCAGTGGTTTAACCTTATTTTTGTTGATCAGCTAACATCTAAGGATAAAACTGCTAGTGGTACAACAAATGCGAGAAATAATGAATAAGAATGTTAAAAATTCCTAAAAATTACAGAGGCATTTTGTCAAGTTTGTTACCAAGAAGATATCTGCCTCAGTGTGAAATGAGCCAAAAAACAAAAATTAGGAGTTAGTTTGACGAAAATTTTGCATATTTGAAAACATCAGCTTACATGAAAAACAGATAATCCCCTTTGCTAAAGAACAAATAATATATGGGGCTTAGTGTAAAAGTTATGAAGTGCGCAAATTTGAAATTTTTATTGAATACGGCTTCGCATAGACCCTCATCTTTTCAAACCGGAAACGGCTCCCTCTCGTAAGAAATCATGGATTTCTTGCCTTTAATTAAACACGTCTCTGGCGACTCGAGGACAATTTCAGTTCATCATTACCTAACATGAGTGTTAATATTAGCGGTAGTGCAAATGTCAATAACAGTGGCTCAAAGCAGAAAAGAATTTTAGTGCGAAAGGAAAAGTGGAAAGTCAAGAAGAAGGAAGCGCACCATTATACATGACAAAGACGTTGAAAAAACCGGTTTCCTGTTGCATGTGAATTCAGGATGCTTTTTTTACGGTGGCAAATCCAACACAGTTCATCTGTAACAAATACTCGGATTAATCATTAATCGACCCCCACTGAGATTGTACAAAACTTTCTAATCTATAATCCCAGGCACTACCCATTTTTTCCACTTTTTTTTGTATGAAAAGAAATTCGCGACTGTAGGTATCTCTTCCACTTGTCCCTCTTTCTCTCCTAACTTTGAATGCAGCGCATGATTAAGCATCGAGGTTTCGAATTCACAATGTGCTTGGTCCTTCAGTTTTAATTAGCAACAGTCCATATTTGGATGTGAAATAAACCAGAAATCACGGAGTTCACAGCTAACTTCAAGGCGTCCAAGCTGCCTTGTGCAGTCAATTAAAACTCGAAGAAATTACAATTCTCGCTCCAAATTTGGGAAATTTGTTTGATTTTAAACCTGCGTTCATAGCTCGGGATACAGTATAGTTTCTCTGATGTAAAATTTCAGGTTATTCGCAAAAGATAAAAAAATTAATGAATTAAGCACACAAATTTTCCGATTCCTAGCTTTTTTGCTTCTTGAGTTCTGAAATTT